CAACTGCTTGCAGTCCTCCATGAAATTGGGAAGAATCTTGACCAAAATATTCAAACTGATGTACTGTACTTAGACTTTGCGAAGGCTTTCGATACCGTAGACCACCAGATCCTTTTAAAAAAACTTAAACGTTTTGGTGTAGTAGACCGCATGCATGATTGGTTCAAAGATTATTTGCATCAACGATTCCAACGAGTTGTTGTAGACGGTGCAGTCTCCGACTGGGCACATGTTACTTCGGGCGTTCCGCAAGGAAGTATTTTGGGTCCTATGCTATTTGTAATATTCATAAACGATTTACCAGACGTTGTGCCAGACTGTATCTCTACAGGACTTTACGCAGATGACACCAAACTCTACAGGAACGTATCAACTATCGGTGACTGTAAGAAATTACAAGACGCTTTAACAGAACTTGGTTCTTGGAGTTATCAAAATAACATGAACTTTAATGCGTCAAAGTGCAAAGTTCTGTCCATAACACGCAAGGTCAATCCATTGCATTTTCAGTACCATATGGATTCTACTAAGTTACTTAGAGTAAACGAAGAAAAAGATCTCGGGGTGATCATTACCGAGAATTTGTCATGGGAATCACATCTTACCTGCATTTGTGCGAAAGCTAACAAATTACTCGGTCTATTAAAGCGAACATGTATTTCAATTATTGACAGTAGTGTTCGAAAGACTCTCTATTTGACGTTGGTTAGGTCCAAGTTAAGTTATGCGACTGAGGTTTGGTCTCCAGCAAGTTCCTTATTGAAACAAAAGGCTGAGAAGATTCAGAGACGTGCTACGAGATGGATCTTGCGCGTCAAAGCCGGTGAACTATCCTACAAAGAGAGGCTTCAGCAACTGGATATGCTCCCTCTTGCGTACGATCGCGAGGTCAAAGACTTAGTATTTTTTTATAAGGCTGTGAACGGATATATTGACATTGATGTCTCAAATTTTGTTAACTTTGTCAATCATGGACGGACACGTAGAGCATTGAGATCCAAATACTTAGAAACTCCGTTGTGTAAAACTTGTACGTACAGTTCGTCGTATTTTAATCGTGTTGTCAAATTATGGAACAGTGTTTGTGTCTCGATTGATCCTTCCAGTTTTACATCGCCATCGTCTTTCAAACTATACCTCAAGATGAGGTATAAGAATATTCTGGAAACAATATTTGATCCGGACATGACTTGCACCTGGTCACTTAAACGTGATTGTGGTTGTCACAAATAATAAACTAACTTAACTAATCAAATTAATGTGCATGCATAATATTAATATTTATTTATTAAGTAAATATGTTATACAGGGTGCCCCAGAGGGGACCAAAGCTGTTGAGATGGCGTGTTGCTTGGGAATTGAATTGCCTTAGCACTTTGCTGAACCTATAAGTGCATAAAAGCTTGACAAAAGTAAATTTTACGAATAAAGAAACTGTTTAAGAAGTTGCTTTAAATTCCAAAGAGCAGATAATCATGAGCTTACAAAGATATTTTAATTTCTTCAATACTCATATTATATGCATCATGTCGATCATATTTACGTATCTTTGCGTTCAGTTGGTGCTGGGGCGTTCGGATTCTGGCAGTGCGTTGTTTCAGTGGGGTTTTTTTTTTCGGACACCCTGTACTGTATATAAAAGGTTTATGTTAGGAAAAGGAGGGGCACCATGCAATGGACTTTACGTCCAGTTTGTGCCTTGTCCGTTTGAGTACAGCTCTTAATTGTATGTTAGATAAATAATTGTTGAATTAATTTGTACTCAATAAAGTTTAACAAACAAACAAAACAAAACAAAGAAAATATACTGAGGTCTGGAGTTATTTACCTTGGAATTTCAGATCATAGTTTGATCTTTGCCGTGCGGAAATTCAAACTCCAAACATTTAGTCAAACAAACTCCGTAATTTTAAACATTTCTCAGTTGATGACTTTTGCAGTGACTAAGTTCCCTGGGATATGATATTTACTCTTTATAATCCTAACGCATGTCGGATACTATGGAAATCGTTTTTCGATGAAATCCTAAATAAACATGTACCACTTTGCAATAAACGAGTTAGATCTATAGACAATCTCGCTGGATTACACCAGCCATTAAACAATTAATGCGTAACAGAGATTTTCACAAAAAAACCCATAAAATTCAATTCTAGATATCATTGGAGTAAATATCAGAATTTACGGAATAAAGTAAATATAGAAATGAAATTAGCAAAATCCCATTTCTATCAATGCGAAATTCAAAATTGTTCTAGATCGAGTGACCTTAAAAAAACCTGGTCGCTGATCAATTGTATCTCGCTACCTTCGCTACCTATATTACCTATACCCCCTATATGTATGTGTGTACTTGTATTTCGCTACCTTCGCTACCCATATTACCTACGCCCCCTATATGTATGTGTGTACTTGTATCTCGCTACCTTCGCTACCTTCGCTACCCATATTACCTACATCCCCTATATGTATGTGTGTACTTGTATCTCGCTACCTTCGCTATCTTCGCTACCTTCGCTACCCATATTACCTACGCCCCCTATATGTATGTGTGTACTTGTATCTCGCTACCTTTGCTACCCATATTACCTACACCCCTTATATGTATGTGTGTACTTGTATCTCGCTACCTTTGCTACCTTCGCTACCCATATTACCTACACCCCTTATATGTATGTGTGTACTTGTATCTCGCTATCTTTGCTACCTTCGCTACCCATATTACCTACACCCCTTATATGTATGTGTGTACTTGTATCTCGCTACCTTTGCTACCTTCGCTACCCATATTACCTACACCCCTTATATGTACGTCTGTACTTGTATCTCGCTACCTTCGCTACCTTCGCTACCCATATTACCTACGCCCCTTATATGTATGTGTGTACTTGTATCTCGCTACCTTTGCTACCTTCGCTACCCATATTACCTACACCCCTTATATGTATGTGTGTACTTGTATCTCGCTACCTTCGCTATACCCATATTACTTACACCCCTATATGTACATGTTTATTATATTAATTTAACCGACACCCCTTTTAGTCTAATTCCAACAAAGGGTCTGACTTTCTTTCATTTAAATATTCAGGCTATCACAAATAAATTGGACCAAGTTAAGCTTATGATTTCTGAATCCATAAGGCATAGGAAGAAAAGCAACATTATATTTTGTTTCTCTGAAACTCATTTAAATTCTAACTGGTCTGATGACGAATTGCAAATTAGAGAGTTCAACTTCATTAGGAAGGACCGAACTTATGCCTCAGGTGGAGGTATTCTGATTTATATTCCAGAAACAATTAATTTTCAATATTGCAATGATTTCTCGTTACAAGAAAATAATTATCCGCTTGAACTTATTTGGTTGGAATTTAAGCATCCTAATTCAAAACCCTTCCTGATGGCCATTATGTATCAACCGGGAAATAATACTCTCTGGAGAGATAACTTAAACTATGTATTAGACATGGCTGACAATGAACACAAAGAGATAATGATGTTAGGAGACTTAAACACAAATTTTCAAGATAAACATTCTTATCAACAACTTCATGTTCTAACATCTCAGTATCAGCTTAAACAACTTATTGATGCAGTTACCAGGCCAATATCAGGTAAAACAATTGACCTTATCTTTACCTCTAAGGAAGATAATGTTATTAAATCAGGCTTGCTAGATATTGGGATGAGTGACCATTTGCCAATTTTTATCTCTAGAAAAATTAATTCCAGGATCTCAATTAAACAAGGTTTACATACAACGATTAGTTATCGCAGGAAGAAAGATTTTATTGCAAGTGATTTTGACAATGACCTTGTTGAAGAAATCCCGTTAAGCCTTTATGAAATCTTTGATGATCCAAACGATCTATTAGACTGTTGGTACTCTCACTTTATGAAAATTTTGGATAGGCATACACCTTTAATAAAACGTAGAGTCAGAAATAATAAACTGCCGGGGTGGTTTAATTCTGAAGTACGTTGCTTTAGCCGCAAAAGAGACTTTTTCTTAAAGCAATTTCTAAAAACCAAAAACTCTGACACATGGTGTACCTACAAAAAATGGAGAAATAGAACTGTTCATATTATTAAAAAGTCAAAAGAGGACTACTATAAGAACCTCCTGACTGATAATGTACATAATCCACGACAATTATGGAAAATTCTAAAAGATATCTTGCCGACCAATGACACTGTCTCCCAAATAACACTTAACATTAATGGCAAGGAGATCAGTGATCCTATCGAGGTTGGCGATCTCTTTAATGAATACTTCTTCTCTATTGCAGACAACTTTGATATCAGTTTACTAAACAACCCAATTAATACTCATTTACCAATTGCAACAAATCATATTAAGTTTACAATTCCACTGATAACAATCGATGACATACTAAATCTTGCAGCCGAATTAGACCAGAACAAGTCAACCAGTCTTGATGGTATTCCTGCCTACTTCATTAAGTCCTCGATTCATTCCATTGCACCCATAATACTTCGCATTTGTAATATGAACATTGAAAATGGCGTCTTTCCCAACATGTGCAGAAAGCTAGACTGATTCCAATCTATAAAGCTGAAACACGTACTGAGAGAAACAATTACAGGCCCATTTCTATATTACCGATTCTATCTAAACTCCTCGAACGACATGTTGCCAACTCATATGTAAAATTCCCCACAGAAAATGATATTCTATCAAGTTGCCAGCATGGTTTTCGAGCCCATCACTCTTGTGAATCTACTCTAATATTGATCTGTGAACACCTTCTCGATAACATTGAGCAAGGTTTAATTAATGGTATAGCTCTAATTGACCTCTTCAAAGCGTTTGACTTGGTCGATCATAGATTGCTACTGCAGAAATTAGAACAATATGGCATTACTCCAATAGCTTTAAAATGGTTTAAATCGTATCTAAATGATCGTTACCAAGTAGTACAAATTGCATCATTCCTATCCAACCCAGCTCTGATAAAGCCTGGTGTGCCTCAAGGATCTATACTAGGACCAATTCTCTTTCTTATCTTTATTAACGATTTACCCAGTTACGTTGGAAGTTCTAAGCCTTTTTTATTTGCCGATGACTCTACACCAATATCCTCCGGATCGGACCTTCACGAACTTAGTGTCTCTCCAAAGTCAGATATGACCTCAGTGTCCCGTTGGACTAACCATAACAAAATGTCTCTTAATCATGGCAAGACAAAAATAATGAAAATATATTCCCAATCCAAATTCCCTGATCTTAGTCCAATAACCATTGAAGTCAATAACAATAATGTTAAGGAGATTACATCCGCCATTTTACTTGGAGTTACATTAGACCAACATCTGAAATGGGATAGGCAAATTAATACCATCTACAATATAATCAATTCTAGACTTTACCTGCTCAAACGTATACGTAGCTATCTCACCTTTCAATCCCGTATTCAATTATATTACGCACTAATCTACCCACACTTGCTATATTGTAGCACAGTCTGGGGCAATGCTAATAACGATCTAATTACGTGCCTACTAAGGCTGGGATTACACTATACCGGATTGATTTTCATACCGGATCAATTTTCACACCGAAGCCAAAATCAAGGGTGTTTACACTATGCAGCTTCGCTCTGTCGCCAGCTCGTATCTTTTATCGTTGCTACGGAAACAAATAATAAGTTTTGACCATTTTGGACGTTTTCTCGACAGTACTTGTGAATTATAACTTTGTTTACAAAGCTTGACCACCCGACGTTGCTTTGTCTCGCTCTTATCGAAAATTGACGAGTATTTCATTAAATTAGTTGCCCTTTTGAAAGCAAGAAGTCAATGTTATTACCGCTATCTTTATTTGTCTTCGCTAGAAATAATGAATAATTGTAAAGCGAAGCAAACAACAGCTATAAAATATTTAAAAGCGAGTAAATAAAACGACAATGTTAAAATATACTTGCCGAAACCTATTTATAGTACCGGAGCGTACCGGATTGCCTGATTACACTTGGTTTTATCCGGTACAGCACGTACCGGATTACTTTTCATATCACTTCCAAAGCGAAGTGATTTTCGCGCCGCGGCACGTACCGGATTACAGTGGCGTAGTGTAAACAAGAGGCCAATCCGGTACAGAAATCGCGTCGCTTCGATGCAATCCGGTATAGTGTAATCGGGGCCTAAAACTACAGAAACGTGCAGCGAGACTAATTCTTGAGCAGTCAACTGAAGTGCCTTCAATTGTGCTTTTCCGTAAACTCAACTGGATACCTATTTTTAATTTGATCAAAATGAGAAAAATATTATTGGTATTCAATACTTTAAAAACATCTTGGCCGCCGGATCTTCGTAAATTGTTTGTCTTTGTTCGCGACTCTCACCCAATTCCAACTAGATCATCTATATACAGACTTAAAAGTTCCATCAGTTAAGACCACGCAAGCAAAATCCAAAATTTCCTTCAGTGGTGCAAGTTTATTTAATTCTTTACCTTCCGAATTAAAAGATATTGAAAAAGAAGCTCAAAACCTATTTTATTCAATTGAATTATGAAGTAGATCACGTTAATAAATTCCGCTGCATCGATTGTAAGCATATTACTCATTGTCAATGTTACTCTCAATAGGATTTTCTTTTTATATATTACTATTAGATATCGAGGGCCATTGGGAAGAATACTATATTAAGTAATCAATGTAATCCCTCATTAAATAAAGTTTTATTATTATTATTATTATTATTACTTGTATCTCGCTACCTTCGCTACCCATATTACTTACACCCCTTATATGTATGTGTGTACTTGCATGTATCTCGCTACCTTCGCTACCTTCGCTACCTTCGCTAACCATATTACTTACACCCCTATATGTATGTGTGTACTTGTATCTCGCTACCTTCGCTACCTTCGCTACCCATATTACTTACACCCCTATATGTATGTGTGTACTTGTATCTCGCTACCTTCGCTACCATATTACTTACATCCCCTATTATGTGTGTACTTGTATCTCGCTACCTTCGCTACCTTCGCTATACCCATATTACCTACACCTCCCCTCCCCCCCCCCAATATGTATGTGTGTACTTGTATCTCGCTACCTTCGCTACCTTCGCTACCCATATTACCTACACCCCTATATGTATGTATGTATATACCTATAGCTCACTACCAAATTAACAAATGATCCATTGTATACTGGATGACATTATTAATAACACTATTAAATATTAATAATTTTGTAAAAACCAATTGACAAATCACAGAACATCTTGTAAGAGCTGCTACATGACCCCTTTGCCGGGGTGACTGAATACGTTATAACTGGCAAACAGATGTTATGTTCTCGACGCTTGGGGCAAGTAAGGCATTCGAATTAGTGCTATGCAAAGTCGGCTGCTGCTATTATCATGGTTATAATTCAACAAACTTTATTTCTGCGCAAACTGTACTGACTAGAACTGACCAGCCAAATATAGAATATATATAGCTATATCAAGAGACTGCAAACAGTACACGAAATCTTTTTGTTTTAAAATCAGTGTGCAAACGCCAAAGCTAGCTCAAATTTGTGTTTATATTATAAAGACCAATTTAGCGAAGACTCTTGTGTTTAGAAAGATGCAGTCATCTTTTGCTGACAGGTTAAGAAGATGTAGTCATCTTTGCTTAATCAGTTGAACCTAAATTTTTATAATGAAAACACAATCATCCTATTATGCATGAATCATTGTATATGACATTGCGGTTGCAGCTACTGTACAATAGGGTATAGCCTGTTTAGGCTATATACAATAGGTCCGTATTATCATGGTTACAATTTAACAAACCTTATTTCTGCGCGAACTGTACTGATTAGAATCAACCAGCCAAATAGTGAAATATAATGTATATATCAAGACTAAGAGACCGCAAATAGTACACGAAATATTTTTGTTTTTAAATCACTGTGTATGCAAACGCCAAAGCTAGCGCAAATTTGTGTTTATATTATAAAGACTAATTTAGTGGAGACTCTTGTGTTCAGAAAGATGCAGTCATCTTTTGCTGACAGGTTAAGAAGATGTAGTCATCTTTGCTTAATCAGTTGAACCCAGGGGCGCCGGAAGCAATGTGAAGCGGCGAGGGCAGCCATTTCAAAAGGGCACTTGCTTCTCAGTCATCATTTTTCAGGGCAGCAATATTTGTTAAAACTTTACTGTATGGATACTCGATTACTTCTGGTATTATGGGCCGCAAGTTTCGACGTTAATTTGAACAATTTTATTCGTTGCACCGTGCTAAAAGTGCAAAATAAAATCATTAAACGGACGTATATTGCTTGATTTAGCATCTGGGCCAAGGGGGCCAAGCCCCCCCCCCCCCCCGAAGTTTTCAGAAAACCTAAAAAGTGCCCTTTTCCTTCGTGAAAAATTTTGTTCAGATTGTATTTTTGACTCACGGATGTTGCAAAGCAACATCTGTGAGTCTTTGTGGCTATACTTGAGTGTGGGGCAGTTAATTAAACAATGAGAAATGACTAGTATGCTTGGTCCGCACTCTTGGCCTGTGAATCGGGCCTTTCAGAACCGGAAATTGGGCTGGAGCACGACAAGTGGCAACATTTGCACGATGTTCGTTTGCAAAAACAACTGCAAACTGTCACTTTCATTATTTGATTTCATCTGTGAGTCGGCCTCAACGGCCTTTGATTTCATTATGATTGCATTTATTTCTCCTTTCCTCCCCCACATCCCCCGTCGGCGACATTTACGGGAAACATTTTTAGGTGCCCGTTTCATTCCAAACGTGCCCCTCGAAACCGGTGCCCCCAACTTTTTGATGCCTATTACGCCCCTGTAAATAGCATTAATTTTACTATAAGTGGTTAAAAATTAAGCAAAGATTGATTAAAGATATGCTGTACAGTCCGATCTGCGTATGGGCACAAGGGAGCTCTCTTTTTATTATACAAACAGTTTATTTAGGTTTTTATTTAATTTTATGTTCTTATATTTATTATACTCTAGAATCATGAAAATATGAATAGTTGTCGAATAAAATTCTATATTTTCGATACCGAAATGTAAACAAATCCTTTGTTTACATACGGACTGTACCGCATCTTTAAACATTGCTTAAAAATAGTTCTAAATTCCAATTTCTGTGAATAATGCACAAATTTAGAGGTGCAGTTCTGGCAAAAAGGGCAACCTGTTGCCCCCGTGCTGCCCCCGCAATGTTTGGGCAACGGGGGCAATTGCCCCCGCTGCCCCCGTGGCTCCGGCGCCCCTGGTTGAACCTAAACTTTTATAATATAGTAAATGTATCCTATTATGCATGAATTGTTGTATATGATATTGCGATTGCAGCTGATACGGTAACTATATAGGTCTGTATTATCATAGTTATAATTCAACAAGCTTTATTTCTGCGCGAATTGTACTGACTAGAACTGGCCAGCTAAATATAGAATGGCTATATCAAGACTAGAGATCACAAACAGTACACGAAATCTTTTTGTTTTAAAATCAGTTTGCAAACGCCAAAGCTAGCGCAAATTTGTGTTTATATTATAAAGACCAATTTAGAGGAGACTCTTGTGTTCAGAAAGATGCAGTCATCTTTTGCTGACAGGTTAAGAAGATGTAGTCATCTTTGCTTAATCAGTTGAACCTAAATTTTTATAATGAAAACACATTCTGTATGTCATGTGTTCTATGGAATTGGTATATATGCAAATATTCATAACTCATTAATAAGCCTTTCTGCGCGAGTTGCAACTACATGTCATGGCTATTCTCATTTAGAATCTAACCAAATAAAACCTATATAGGATATAACTGAATACCCTCACGAGTACAGGCTTCTGTAAGCAAGTTTCAACCGTCAATATCGCATGTTCACCTGCTCTATATCATAATAAAATGTTTGTATTGCATTTCACGGGATTTCACAAGACTAGTAACTTATTTCTAAATATTGAACTAAACGCCACATGCTAATTTTCATATACCCACTGTAAACAGAACCAGATTGATGACTGCTTTGCCTATTAATTTTATTGGGATTAGGCATAATTGCATCCGGCGAAGTGCACAAATTTGAGTGTCCCTATATGTCGTGTGTCGTGGATTAAAAGTCGTGTGTCGTGGGTAAAGTCGTGGGTAAAGTCGT